CTAGTACGAAGTGAAACAAAATCACAACAACATACTCAATCCACAACAAGTCGAGACCCAAACGAAAATGTGACCACTCTCCAAATATCGGTGTCTACTTACCAAACCGGCTGCATCATTAATGACTGCATACGTATCCTCTTGCTTAAGGAATAAAGCTTTCACGTAGTTCATCTAAATGGCCTTCAAAGGCCCTTAATCCAATAGAAGAGTTCTCAACTCTTCACCAACAAATAAGGAAGAGACAACATTATTACTCTCTTGAATCATGGGATGTGATCATATACTGTTGAGAGATGATATGCCTCTCACTTGTACTGTGAGCTTCTACCTGATGGGCGCGGTGTACTGTACTCCCCCCTTCACGTCATGGGAAATAGGAAGGTCCATCCATGTACGTGACATCATATCCGTCTAGTGCTCTGGCACGCTTGGCGAATTTGCAGGCGGACTACTGATTTCCTGGATGTGCAGGCGAGCTTCGTTCGTGCTAGCAAACTTAGCGCTTGAGTAGACTTGACTCGTGCTGGCGAGTCAAGCATGCAGGCGAGCTTCGTTCATGCTGGCGAACTTTAGTGTTTGAGTGAACTTGACTCGTGCTGGCGAGTCAAGCATGCAGGCGAGCTTCGTTCATGCTGGCGAACTTTAGCGTTTGAGCAAGTCCGTGCTGGCGGGTCAAGCATGCAGGCGGCATTGAGCTCTTGACGACGGGCTCGACGATTAAAGCGAGTTTGCTTGGCTATTCTGCGTGCAGGCGTACCCATACATGCGGGCTTTTAGATCTTCTTGTTGTTAAGGCAATTTTTTATAGCCTACAATATGTGACAAACCAATCCCTATGTGGACACATATGATAGGAACAACCCGAATCAAGAACTCACTCATCTTGTGAATGAGTATTAACACTAACTGAAAGAACTTCTTGTGAACTAGAAGATTCTTTAACTACAGTGGCAACTGAAGGTTTCACCATCCCAGACTTTGACTGTGAATTATCATTTTCTTTGAGCGCTGGACAATTAGATTTTATATGCCCATACTTGTGAAAGAAATAACATTCAAAAAGAATTCTTGGCTTGGACTTTGATCTAGACATATTTCTAAATTTGACTCTACCACCAACACTCTTTTCAAGACGACCACGAGCGAACAAGCATTCAACTTGATCCTCTCCTCCTACGACAGACACTTTCTGCCTTAACTCTTTAGAATGTAAGGCTGATTTGACATCCTCCAAAGAAAGTTTATCTCTACCGTATAACATGCTATTAACAAAATTCTCATAGGAAGGGGGTAATGAACACAACAAAATAAGGGCTTGATCTTTTTCATCAATTTTAACATCAATATTCTTTAAATCCATAAGAATAGTGCAAAGTTCATCTAAATGGTCTTTAATCCGCATACCTTCCTTCATGCGAAGGGTGAAGAAGCATTGCTTCAAGTAGAACTTGTTCGTTAGAGATTTCGTTATGTACAAGCTCTCTAATTTAAGCCACAAGCATACAACAGTATCTTTATTGGCAACCTTCTGCAGGACTTCATCGGCCAAACAGAGCTATATGACACTATGCGCCTTCATCTCCAGCTCTTCTTCCTCATCATCGGGCATGGATTCTGGAAATTTGTCTTTTCCGGATAAGACTTTGAACAATCCTTATTGTACTAGGAGAGCCCTCATTTTTACTCTCTACAAACTGAAGCTTTTTCTCTCATCCCACTTTGTATTTTGCGGAATACATCTTGAAGCCCACTAGAACAGTAACTGTAATTGTGAACAATAACCGCACTTATGAGCAGTAATCGTACTTGTGAACAGTACTGTGCTAGTAAATAGTGTCCAATGCCCTAAGCCGGGCTCTGATACTAGTTTGTTGTAGCCAGGGGTTTCACAGACACATAAAATATCTTTATAAAAGTGGATAATAACAACACTGAATAAATACAGTGAAGACAAAAAGAACTGCACACAAGAATTTAACGTCGTTCGGTCAGTGTGACCTACGTTCACGGGCGAGAACAGTAGAGAAATTCACTAATCACAAAAGAAAAGATTACAAAGGAAATCACTCTCTAACCTCATCAGAGAATCACACAAAGAAAGAAAGAAATTTTCTATATAAATTAATTCTTTCTATCTCTCTCTTCTCTAAAACTCCTCTCTATCCCGATGCCATTTCCTCATACTTCACAACTCTTTTTATAGGCAAATGAGGGAGACAATTTGGTAGGTGGAACAGAGGAGCTAAGGTTGAGCTAGGCTTAAGAGAGTTGTAAAAATTAACTATGTGGTGTCGCATGATTAGAAGGCCAACTTTGTTGACTTATTCAAGTCACTCTCACATTTTCAGATAATTGATCTGTAAACTATATTACACAAGCGCATTGATTACATGAATGTATGATAATGTTCTCAGATTTCATTAAGTCTTTTTACCGAGCTGTAGCTTTTCGTATGTAGACCACAAATAACATTGAGAGCCCATGGTGAATTTTTTGTGTTGTTTTTCTGTAAGTGTTAGATATTATATACTCACTTCCTCAATTCCAAAGCACAAAAATGTGTTTTTAAATAAGTATTTGTGTTTTTTTCTTTTGAGAATGCTTAAGTTCAAAAGCATGCACCACGATATCAAAATGCCGCTGAAGAAATCAGAAAGTAAAGTTCTAAAAATCATTTTAGAATTAAAATGTAAAATATTTGAAAATACAGCTCACAGCGAGAGAGGAGTCATCACCTACCATTTGCAGAGGCCTTAAGTTTAAGAGCAGATGCACTATTGAGCTTGGTTTGATAGGTCGTTGGAGGAGGGAATGTGAGGTGTAATGAGATGAAGAGATAGACATCTCTTTAAGTCTTTATATTTGGTTAGAGGGGAGGGGAAGAAAGATGCATGTTTTTATAGTTTATTTTCGCTCCTCCTGAATCCTCCCAAATTAGAAGGATTATTCTCTCTCTAATTTTTTTTTTATTTATTTTAGGGTGTCCCCTTCCTCCCCTCCAGTCCCCTCACTCTCCCTCTCCCTCTAGATACCTTCTACGAAAAGCAAATTTAATTTTTGTCGCTTTCCTCCCCCTCACCTTCCCACCTACCAAACCAATACCAAACACAACACTATTCATTCTGCGCCCTTCTCTCTGCTTTCCCTCTCTAAACATTCTCTCTCCTCACGTTCACTCACTCACTGTCTTCATTGTTCTCATTCTCTCCCCTACGCCAGCTCAAGCTCTTTTTTAAGGCCTTTTCTCCGCAACACATGCACATTCATTCATTCTCTCTCTACTATTAGTTTACTCAGAGGAATGGAGGAAAGTTTAGTGAGAGAAAAATTTGAGGGGATTTTGATTACTGGTAACTACTCTAAAAGCCTCTAGTTTCTCTCTAATTTCGATTTTCATTTGGGTCATCTACGTAATTAATTAGTTTTCTTCTTATTGAAGCCGAGCTTGAATTGCCCATTTCATAAAATGATTATTGGGGATTGAGTGAAAATCCTAAATGTTTTGAAGGTTTTAATAAATTGCCAAAAATATTTGGGGTTTAGTGAGAGTTCGAAATTTTTTTAAGGTTTCAATGTGGTTTAGGGGTTGTTTGGTTCGCTATTATAAGGGGTGGAAAACTCAGAAAACCCCTCCACGTCAGATTTTTAGCCCTTCACGTCAGCTTTTTTTGTTTCCGTCCATTTCTTTGTGCCGCTTTGGTTCGCTCGAATGGAAGAGGGAAAACTCTGCTGAAATCGCCGCCAACTAAGATTTTTTTCCCTCTCCGATTTCCTTCCTCAACCAAGTGAAATTGATAAAAACTATGTCACGTCAGATTTTTTTCCTTCTCTGCTTTGTTTACAAAAGTTTTTCTTTTTTTCTATGCGAACCAAACACAAGAAAAATAAATACATTGGTTTCCCACCATTTTTTATGTGCGAACCAAAGCAAAACAATCTTTTTCTTGGAAAAGTTTGGAAAACTCAAAACTTGTGTTTCTTTACATGGAATTGTATTTCTCTATATCAAGGAAACGAACCAAACAGTCCCTTAGCGTAATTTATTTCATAATACCTGACTTTGATGTGACCACTAGGTAAGAGAACTATATTGCAGTCTTTTTTACAAAATTATTTTCACATCGACCTCTTTCTTACGAACGGGAACGTTTTCTAGTTTTCTTCTTTGGCTTAATATCAGAAAACACCCTTAACTTTGGACAATTATCAATGAACCCCTCATAACTTTGAAAATATCAGAAAGCCTCTCATTAATTTTAAAGATTATTAGAAAATCTCCTTTTCAACCTTAAGCTTTTATAATCGAACTTTCTTTAGCTCTGAGATTTTATCAGAAGACTCCTCATAGATAGAATTTTTTTTGATAAAGTCTTAAAGTTAAATAAAATTTACTACTAATCCCTTATTTTGTTTGTGTGTGTGTTTTTCTTTTCTTTTCTTTTTTGGACGGGCGGGGGTGGCGGCGGTGGGTGTGGGGGTTTTAAATATTTGCAAAATTATTATGATAATCGTCCAAAGTTAATGGTTTTTTTCCTAATATTCTTTTTTTTTTGTTTTTAACCATATTTTTATAAAGCTTGAGAAAATGGGTAGAAGAGGCGAAAGGAAGGCTATTTATATGCTTATTAGCACTTCTCATATTTTTCAACTTCTAAAGAAATTCAATAGCACTTATCATCTCTCCATTTTTGTAAAGCTCTAATTCGAAAATGATAAGTACAAATATATAGTTGAGAGATAATAACTGCTACTTGAAGATATAGATGAAAATAATTATATACAATTTAACCGAATAAATATACCCCCGATATTCTTTTATCTGGTTTTCTCAAATAAAAAAAAAGAGGATAAAAAGGTATGAAATTTGTCCGATTTGACCGAACTTGAAAACAATAGTAAAAGTCAATCCTTCTTATACTTTACCCCAAAGTAACCCTAAATTTTGACCGCGTTTCTACTTTCCACAAAAGACAACTACGAAATATGACGTGCACCGACTATTATCAGCCGACCACGTACACATGTTATACATTGGAATATTCATCTTTGCGCCGTAATTCAGTAAAATTCTGATAACTAATTATAATATTACAGTTACCTGTTACGATTTAATTTAAATTTGAATTATATTCTCTATATATACACGTATAGCTAATTTGTTTTATTTTGCTGATTGCCTTTTTATTTTTATTTTTTTTGTCAACAGAAGCTCTAATTAATTTGTGCGTTACACAAAAGGGTTATGAATGAGGACGATCATCGTCATGTTTACATGATGAGTGAGGGGGTCTTGGGTAATGTTGAAGAATTTTTTGATTTCTCAAGTGATGGTGGTGATAATTATTGTTATAATTATTGTGATAATAACGCACAAATTTCTGCTGCTAATTCTCATGGCGAAGAAGGATGTGGAGTTACGCCCACTTCCGAGGAGAATGAAATTGTGAGTCATTTTCCAACCTGTGAGGTTTAATCTTTTTAAAGAAAATTTTGAAGAGTATTAGAGAATGTCAATTATGTTTTTTTTTTTTTTTGCCCCTTCCAAATTATCTCTTTTATTTTCTTTATGAACGAGGGGGTTTCCCTCGAAATTATCCTAAATTTTTTTTCCTTATCAAACACTGAACTCTGGGGTGACCCACAACCCCAAACCCTGCAGAATTCAGATTTTTTTTTCCTCCATGGGACTCTCTAGCTAACAGTGTTAGTGGTATAACTCGTTAATCCATTAACACTGCTGCTTAGAAATATTTGAAAGTTTAGAGAGATTTGTGAGACACGCCAATGTTCAGGGGGTTTGGTATAAAGGGTCTGGCATAAAAGGAAAGTTTTTAAAGGGCTTTTCTTTAAATTTACCCTTTTCTTTTCTTTTCTTGAGAACATGGGTTGTAAAGGATTTGTGCTAGGATGGTAGGGGGCAAAAAATTTAAAGAATAGTAATATAATGCATACTGCTAAGGCTTCCCTTGTATTAAAAAATAGTAATAATAATAATAATAATAATGAGCATATTACCATATAATTTTCTTATGCCCAGCCGTTATGTCTCATTTTTTGTTCGATACAACGTGACACATAAATTTCAAATTACTAGCTCTTTTCTTTCGATGCAGAACAACGAAGCAAATGCTGGCGAAAAGGATTGGGTCACAAGTTTCTTCGATCCACAATTCGACATTGACATTCCGGCCACCTTCGTCCCTGTTAATGATTTCATTGACAACGACGAGTCTGTGTTCGGCCCATTAAGCCCGAAGTCCGTGCTGGACGAGCCCATCATTATCAGCCTCAACCAAGAAGGACCGTCCTCCTCGTCGATCTCACGGCCCCCAATTCGGCGTATGCCCACAAAGCCCATCCCGGCCCGGCCCCGCACCAAGCGAGCTCGTCGGCCAGCATCGGTCCGCTTCACCGCCCCGGTCATCTCTCCATCCGTCGAGGGCCCTCCGGCGATACCGGCATTTCTCGACGCGACCGAGGGGCCCATGAAAATTCACCCGGTGAGGAAAATGAAGAAGGAGGCCCCCAGAGTCGACGATCACCCTGATGGAATTTTGCCGTTGAGAAAATGCAAGCATTGTGGGGTTTCAAAGACGCCACAGTGGAGAGCAGGCCCAACGGGCCCTAAAACCCTGTGCAACGCCTGTGGGGTCAGATACAAATCGGGCCGGTTATTCCCCGAGTACCG